AGCATAGGACATTTGCTTGCTGTAATACCATGCAAATTGCCTCATCTAAAAGCTCAAGCTTTTGACAGTATATTCACTTCTTCAGCAAACAATATGATATTATATTCAGGGTCAGATACTATCAAAAAATTCTCGTAACATTCTTATTTTAGATGAGACTGGAGAAATCAGAACTACTTGTAAATGAGTTTATGATTTCTGTTAAAAAATGTAATGAAGACAGCATTCAGTTGGACCTTTCATTTATATCTTCGAGGCTAATTTATCACCCATGGTACTCGAGACAATGAAATGCTTCTAGAGTGAGGTGATTTGTGCCCTTCCCAGATCACAATCCTTTCTAATTGATTTGTCTGTGATTGACTTCCATGCAACGGTAGCCTCGCGATAACTTTTTACCAGAAGTAGTAGAAAAGATCTTGATATCAGTTTCAAAACTATAACTTTCTCATTTTTTCTGATTTATTTTGGAGATTATTTTAACTCACCAAGATATTGTATTTCATTAATTTCTTTATCTGAAATGTAATTCTTTAGGTATTGAATTGATTCTTAATACACAAGTTAAGTCTGCTGATGTGAGGCGCAACACCCTACAAACTGCGACAGGAGAAACCATAAGCTACAAAATTCTCATTGTTGCAACAGGTGCTCGGGTATTGAAACTAATCTTTTCTGTTTACCTCTGTTGCACTCGATAAACAGATTATTTAATCATGGCTCAACTTAGGGAAGAGATTTTCCTCTGAAAAACAGGAGAAATACAGGAGAGAAGGCATTCCACCAATTCTAATTTAGAAGTTCTTAGCACGCCTTCTTGATTGGCGATGAAAGCACTTGTTCTGGTTCTCTTTAATATTTGGAACTATTGTAAAACGAATGGATCAAGATCCATGAGATTATCAATATCTTTTCAGAATGAAATTTGTGACTAAAAATATTTATAAATATAATGCATATATGTCAGATAAATATGTAGTTAAGGCCCACTTATAGTTGTGCAGGGAATCCCTAATTCAAAATGAAATTTACAATGATCGATACACGGTCCTTCGTATTGATTATCGAATTAAAGAAGGAATCAACAAATTTTTCCACTCTGATTGATTGGCACGTGTTATTACTTATTTTAGCCTTTGAAGCTGGAAGAATTCGGGGTGAGTGGATCTGATGCAGCTAATGTGTGCTACTTACGAGATATGGCGGACGCAGAAAGGCTTGTAAATGTCATGCAATCCTCTAGCGGTGGAAATGCTATTGTCATTGGTGGAGGCTATATAGGAATGGAATGTGCTGCATCTTTGGCAATAAACAAATTAAATGTCACTATGGTTTTCCCAGAGGCACATTGTAGTGAGTAATTTTATTTGCTTTCTGCTCTTCTACTTCAATTCCAGTTTTAGTTTTTGAAGCTCTATTATGTGGTCAAATTTAGTTGCAACACAAATATCCAATAAGATACATTTATAGCATGTATGGTAAGACGAACAAGACAGTATTAAGAAAGAAAAACAAGTTAAAATCTTGTCCATTATAATGTACTACGTACCTAAGAAAGAAATATAAGTTAAAATATTGTCCATGGCACACTGTGTACCAAACATTTTCTCAATGAATTAAGATGTATCCTTTTGTTCTTCTTTTTCTTTGTTTTGAGAAGGATGGGGAGATAAATTGATAATACACAAGACCTCATTATTCTGAATCAGATATCATTATTTTCTAGAGTCAAAATATTAATGGCCCAAAAATGTGGGATTGGATCCTGGCTTGCAGCGTTGATTTTCTAGTCAGGACAAAGTGTTACTTATTTGCACTGGAGGTTATGTTCATTAAATTTCGTGTGCACATTCTTTCATCTTTTTTTATTTTTATTTTTATTTTTTGGGTGTAGTGGCCCGTTTATTTACCCCCAAGATTGCCAGTTACTACGAAGAATTTTACAAGTCCAGAGGAGTGAAGTTTATCAAGGGAACTATGTTGACGTCATTTGATTTCAACACAGATGGGAAGGTAAAATCCTTTGGCATTTGATGCTATGAAATGTATAATATGATAAATTTTCTCATTTACTGCTGCAAAAATAGCAATTTAGGCCAACACATTGCCGTTGAATGTTCTTGGCACTGCTCAACTGTAGCACAACGATAATAAGAATGAGCACTTCAGCTAAGCAACCCCCCCCCAACACCACCACCACTCTTCAATCTCAAATTTGATGGTTGTGACATTGCCATTAAAAAGTAAAATAAAATTTCACTTGGATCATAAAAGTAGGCCCAACAGAGTGATATTGGCTTTTCATGACTGCTTTTCGTACCCTTAGCTTTTTGCAATTTTACTTTGTTTCCATAATCCGTGCTAATTGCATTATTGAAAAACTTCCGTTACAGGTCACTGCTGTCAATCTCAGAGACGGAAGTAAGCTTCCAGCAGATATGGTTGTGATCGGGATTGGCATCCGTCCGAATACAAGTCTGTTTGAAGGCCAACTAACCTTGGAGAAAGGGGGGATCAAAGTGAATGGAAGGATGCAATCAAGCAACGGCTCGATCTATGCTGTTGGGGATGTCGCCGCATTTCCAGTCAAAATTTTTGGAGAAATTCGAAGGCTTGAGCATGTTGATTGTGCACGTAAGTCGGCAAGGCATGCTGTTGCTGCAATCATGGAACCAGAAAAGACAGGTGAATTCGACTACCTGCCATTCTTCTACTCGAGAGTCTTCACATTGTCTTGGCAATTTTACGGGGACAATATCGGGGATGTTTTCCATTTCGGGGATTTCTCGGGAAAGACATTCGGAGCCTATTGGATACATAATGGGCATCTAGTCGGTTCGTTCCTCGAAGGTGGAACTAAAGAACAGTATGAGGCTATAGCTCAGGCCACAAGGCTGAAACCCGCAATTGAAGACGTGACCGAGCTCGAGAGGCAGGGTTTGGGTTTTGCTTTGTCCATGAGTAGGAAACCTCCCCCATCCCAGTCTATTAATGTTGGTGGGTCATGTCTGGTTCTGGATAAAAAACCTATATACGCATGGCATGCAACTGCTGGAGTTATTGTAGCTGCGTCTATAGCATCCTTTGCTTATTGGTACGGTAGGAGGCGAAGAAGGTGGTGAAAACATTGTTTTTGACGGCATTGCATTCAAAGAGTTCGAGAAATCCTATACTGCATGCTTATGTTGTAGCATTTTTAGAAGATCGAGAACCATAAATGCTCGATTTTACTTTATAATTCCATCTCTGAGCAGGATATGGCTTAAATTATTGTTCTCAGGGACAAATTCTTCACATGATCTATACATATTGTTTCACATATATGGCTTCAAATCTTGGTCTAGATTGAATTGGTCAGAAGACTATTGAAATGTAGTGCTTGTGGCAACATATTAGTATTTTACATTCTGCAAGAACTCACCACAGAATCATGTCCTCTTTGTAAACATGTGTATGTATACAACATAGAATTCCATTGGATAACTTATATAATACGATTGTAGCAATCTTTTCATTAACTTACACATAGCTCAAACATTTAAATAGTTGATGAAAGGGATGACCATTACATTAGCACGAATAACTTCATCAAAAACCTCTCCATAGATCTTCTTACATAATTTGAGGCCCGTTGAATCAAAGAGCACCTAAAAGGGTTGCGGCTTTGATCAAATTTAACCCCCGTTGGAGCTCAATTATCTAAAAAATTATTTTTCATCAAATTACTACAAATTCTTCCAATAAAATAATTTTGCATGTAAATTTTTCACATTTATTAACAACACATTCTCCAAAAAAATTACTATTTTACTCATCTTCCAAAAAAAATAAAAATATGAGGCTTTCAAGTAGATTCTTTGCATTCAAAATTGCAAATATTTATATTTATTATCTCAATATGATGTGAACCTTAAAGGTGGGCATTTGGTCTAGTGGTATGATTCTCGCTTTGGGTGCGAGAGGTCCCGAGTTCGATTCTCGGAATGCCCCCTATATTTTTGCATTTTGCATCTAATTTTTGGGTTTCGACATTCTGTGTGCCCACAGGCCCATCCAAATTTTAGCCATTCCGTCTATACTTGAATTACGCTTTACAGGATAAATTTCTTCTGCCATAGCTGAACTTTAACGAAAATATTAATTAGGTCATTAAATTTTAATTTAGTTTTGAATTTCAGCTGTCATGTTTCGTTATTTATTATTCTCCAAATTCGCATGCCACACAATAATGATGCAGAAAACTGATTAAAGTTTGATACCAATTAAGTAATTTCAAGGGATTGTGTGCAGAAATGGTCCCTACTGTTTGCACTTGCTGCAGATGAGGACTTAACCTTTCCTTTTTTTTTTTTTTTGTATTTGGATCCTTGTTTCAACCTTTGACTGCGTAAGTGGTCTATCCATTAGTTTTGTTCAATTTTCCCGTTAAAAGGGCATTGATTTTTCCAGAAATTAGGGAAGAGTTACCAAAATAGAGATATTATTACATAAATGTACGTATTATGCACATTGATTCGACAAGAAAGACCAACAAAGTGATAAAAGACGAAATTACTATTATGAAAGAAACTATGTGCATTGCATGCGTGCCTTTAACTAATAGAAATGACCAATTGTACAGTCGAAGGTTGAAATAGAAATTCAAATGCCAAAATTGAAAGGATGTCTTCAATCTGTAGCAAGTGCAAGATAGAGATTATTTGTGAAAAAAACCAATTTTCATCATCTGAAAGACAACACGTGATGAAGTGGTGAAATTTGAAACCAAGTTAAAGTTTATAATCCAATGTGAAACTAAAGTGAAGTTTAGTGACCAAATTGAGATAAATTAAATTTCAAAAAGCTAATTGATTTTTTCTTTGAAACTTTAGTGACCAAAGGTGATATTTACCCTAAATTGGAATACAAAATTGCCCTCAAATTCACTCACACAACCAAACTTCACCTCCTTATCCTATCTTCTTCTTCTACACTCCCACTTTGTCTCACTAAATTCAACAATGGCTTCCACATTATCCTCAATTACCCTCCGTCCATCATCTTATCCTGCACCCTATGCCGCTTATCCTGCGCATCCCTCAGCCACATTTCCAAAACAATCCGTTGAATTCCCTCAAAAAACCAATCCCAATCCCCGCTGTCGCAGCCGCGCCACCTTCCTTCGCCCCCTCGCCGCCGTAGAAGCCCCCGAAAAGGTTGTCGAGCTCGGTGACCAGATCTCTAACCTGACCCTTGCTGATGCTCAGAAACTCGTCGAGTACCTCCAGGACAAGCTCGGTGTTTCTGCTGCTTCCTTCGCCCCCGTAGCCGCGGTCGCCGCTCCCGGCGGCGCGGGAGTGGCGGAGGCTCCCGCTGCGGTGGAGGAGAAGACAGAATTCGACGTGGTTATAGAGGAGGTACCGAGCAATGCTAGAATTGCTACTATTAAAGCAGTTAGGGCTTTGACTAATTTGGCATTGAAGGAAGCCAAAGAATTGATTGAGGGATTGCCGAAGAAATTTAAGGAGGGAGCTTCGAAAGATGAAGCTGAGGAGGCGAAAAAGCAGCTCGAAGAGGCAGGTGCTAAAGTTTCCATTGCTTAGTTTTTTCAATTAATTGTGATAAATTTTGAATGAGTAGTTGTAGATGCAGTGCAGTGAATTCGATTTAAAGCAAACATTCCATTACGAATTCTGTGTTTGAACTGAACTGAATCTGTACTACTGTACCTATACATGTGTGGTTGACGAAAATGTGTTAATTCCTGGGATTTTTTCCTTGGCGAAGAGAAGACAATTAATTGGTTATAAGCAGGGTTGTAGAATGCGCACATATGGTTCACGTATAATGGATTCGTTTTTGAAAAGACTGGATATGCGCATGATAATGTGACCAACTTATTTCGTTGACCGCATATACATGCTTAAACGCCAAAAATGCGTAGCATTTGCGTTAAAAATGTAGCAATGCTTAGCCAATTTTTGTAACTTAAAAAAAAATGAGTAAAATACTAGTTTATGTGACATTAAATAAGATGTACAATTAAATGATTCATTTAAATGTACTTCTCATTGAACTTATCATATCTAAACTGGTGTTGTAGAACTAGTGATATTGTTCAAAAAAATGCAGATTGAGCCCAAAAAACATTAAACTAAGGATTATGCTAAATGTACATAATCCTTTACACAATTCTTTACACCTCTCTCACATGGAGGGGGGGCCCACACACAATAAAATATTTGTGGACCCCCCTCCATGTGAGAGTAGTGTAAAGAATTGTGTAAACCATGGAGTGTACATATAGCACAATCCTTAAACTAACCCAAATCACCCCAACCATGAATTATATGTAGCAATCTGTAGGATTTTGACGTTTAACAAAATAAAAAATCAATTTTTTTTTTGTTGAGTTGCAAACTATCTATGCAAGCCTCAACCTCTTTCTTCTCTAGTTTTACAAGTAAAGCTAGTAATGAATAATCTTGAATTGGTGATTGTTGTGATGACGATGAGGAGGTTAATAATGATATTCTATCATTTATAAGAGGTAATAGAAATTATCGAGTTGAAATAATGAAGTCCGATAAGATGAATTTACATTGGATGACACGGAAGATGACTTGGATGTAGAGGAGTTTGAATTGTAATTCGATAAAGAGTTAGAAATTATTTAGGATTTTTTAAAGTTGATATTTGTGTCTAATCTAATTGTAGAAATTGATTTCCAATTAATTGTAATATTTATAATTTCGAGTATTATGAGCTTGTTTGTCTCCCATTATAGGAGAAAGAATGATGTTTTGAATAGTATTTTTTGGAGAATGTGTGGTTAAAATTGAAAGAAACTTTATTGGTTTATGTGTAAAATATTTTATTATTTGAATGTGTGGTGGAGATTGATTACTGTAGAAAATAATGTTTTGAAAAATGGTA